AAAAAATACATATCCTTTAACATTTTTTTAATGTCAACAACATATATTATGTTCAAGAAGTCTTTTTAAAATTACAATATTAATAAATAAGTTAAAAAATCTTTAATTAATTTATTTATCAAATAATATGTTAAGTCAATTTTTTTAAAGTAATATGTTATAATGATGAGGTCTCCCGTCTCTTTGTTTCTCACTTTGAAAACTTCCTCGGTACTGCTCATCCCTCCCTTCCTATTCATAATCATGTCTTCCTCTTCACCAGAAAGCTTAATGCCAATCAAGCCGCCATGATGCTTGCTCCTATTACTGACTCCGAGATCAAGTAGACCCTTTTCCAGATGAGAGATGATAAAGCTCCGGGGCCGGACGGTTTCACTTCTAAGTTTTTCAAAGCCGCTTGGAGTATTGTTGGCAGGGATGTGTGCTCCGTCGTTCGTGAATTCTTCATGAATGGTGAGATCTTAAAATCGATTAATAGCACTATTCTGGCCCTTATCCCCAAGACGGATGCCCCGTCTCGTGTCACTGATTTTCGTCCTATTACTTGTTGTAATGTCATATATAAAATCATTAGCAAGATCATTGTTGACCGTATAAAAGATCACCTTTCTTCTCTGGTTGACCTCAACCAGTCTGCCTTTATTCCGGGTCATCTCATTACTGACAATATTCTTCTTGTTCAGGAGCTCATGCGCGGCTATCATAAGCAACCCCCCCTCGGCTGTGCCTTTAAAGTTGATAACCAAAAGGCTTATGATACCGTTGATTGGCATTTCCTTTGCACTGCCCTCTTCGGCTATGGTTTTCCTCTAACCATGATTAAATGGATTATGTCATGTGTTTCCATGGCCTCTTACTCGGTCAGTATAAATGGAAACCTCCATGGCTACTTCAAGGGAGGTTGTGGCCTTAGGTAGGATGATCCTCTTTCCCCTTATCTCTTCACCCTGGTCATGGAGGTCCTCAACCTCTTGACCAAAAGAAAAATTCGTGAGACGGGATCCTTTTCCTACCATCGGAATAAGATCACCCATCTTTGCTTTGCTGATGATCTCCTCATATTCTGTCATGGTGATAGTGACTCTGCCCGTGTCATAAAGGATTCTCTTGATGAGTTTTCGAGTGTGTCTGGTCTCTTTCCAAGTCCGGCCAAAAGCGAGGCCTTCTACTGTAATGTCGGCCAGCATACCAAGGAGTCCATTCAATCCATCATTCAATTTCCGAAGGGTTCCCTCCCGGTTCGTTATCTCGGTGTCCCTCTCATTACCACCCGACTCTATCATCGGGACTGTAAGGGCCTTGTTGACAAGGTCAAATCCAGACTTAATGATTGGAAGAATAAGTCCCTCTCGTTTGCCGGTAGACTGCAGCTTATTCTCTCGGTCCTGTCTTCTATGCAAATATATTGGGCCTCTATATTTGTGCTACCGATTTCCATATCCAAAGAGATTGAGCAGCTTATGCGGGGCTTTGGTGCCACGGTGAGCTTAAAAGGGGGAAAGCTAAGGTCTCCTGGAAGATTGTCTGCCTCCCCAAATCTCAAGGCGGGCTTGGTATAAAGAGCCTTGCCAACTGGAATCTTTCCCTCATGGCCTCCCACACATGGCGAATCCTTACCAATAGGGATTCGCTATGGGTTAAATGGATCCACTTCTACAGACTGAAAGATCGTAACTTATGGGATGCCCCGATTCGCAGTGATGTTGGTTGGGGCTGGAGAAAGATCCTGGGTATGAGGGAAAAGATAAGAGACTTCATTGTATCCTAGATTGGTGATGGCGCTTCCACGTCTGCCTGGTATGATAACTGGCACCCTGCTGGCCCCCTCTACCGGCATATTTCGTCTCGTAATATTCTTAATTCCAATCTTTCTCTCTCTACCTCTGTCAAAGATATCATATCTTAGGGTAATTGGACTTGTCCTATCCTGAGGGATAATTCTAACCCCTCCATCCGTGATTTTCCCCTCCCCGTCCTTTCCCTGACTACCCCTGATAAACTCCTTTGGTGAACGAGGGGTGGCCGTTTTACTCCGTTCTCTGTTCATGAGGTCTGGCTCTCCCTCCGTCCCAATGAGCCTGATGTCCCTGGCATCATTTAGTCTGGTTCTCTCAAAGCATTCCCAGACATGCTTTCATTCTGTGAATTGCTCTCAAGCAGCGTCTCAAGACGCACGATAAGCTTCGGTTCTGGGAGGCCCATTCCGACCTGTCCTTAACGGGTCTGATTCGCATTCGCATCTCTTCTTTGAGTGCCCATTTTCTAATCTGGTTTGGAATGGCTTAAAGGCTAAGCTGAACCTCAATGGTGTCCCGGATAACTGGGTAGATATTATTGGTATATTCCAACAAGCCACCAAAGGAAAGACCATCTGGTCGATCATTCGTCGTTTAGTGCTTGCTGGGACCGTTTACCACCTATGGCAAGAGAGAAATACTCGCATCTTCAAAAACAAAAGAAGATCGCATATTACGGTGGGTAAGACAATTACTGATGATGTCCGGTCCAGGCTCCTCAACCTGACTTTCAAGCCCTCCCCCAATGTTGTCCAGGCTCGGCTTGCCTGGAACCTTCCATAGCTTTTTGTTCTTTTGTGTTGTCTGTCTGTTTGTGAGAGCTTCTCTGCTCTCCTGTTTTTCTTGGTGCGGTCTAGGATGTGTCTGTTTTAGGCCCCTTCTCCTACCTTTGTGGTGTCCCCCGTTGTTTCCCGGTCTTGGCTTGGCTAGGCCCTTCCCTTCTGGTCTGCTTCTTTCTCTTTCTCTCTTTCCCTCTTCCTCTCTCTCTTCTTCTCTTTCCATTTTTCTCTTCCCTCTTCTCTTCTTCTCCCTTTCTTCTTTCTCTCCTTTTCCCTCTTTTCTCGTCTTTCTTCTTCTTTGTCTCCCTCTTTCTTTCCCCTCGGGGTGCCTTGGATTCTGGTAGTTGAGGTTTCCTTCTACCCGAGCGCTTCATTGTTGCTAATTTAGCGTTTTAGTGTTTTATCTTGATCTGGAGGGGTCTCCCCCCTCCCTATCCAAAAATAAATAAAAAAACTTCAATTCAACAATTTGTTACATATTAACATCTCATATAGAACTTGATAACTTGTATCGTATCATGGATAAAAAACTTAAAATACAACCTCTTAATAAAAAAATTAAAAGTAGAGAAAAGAAATGAAAACACAATGCTTAAACAAATATTGAATTAAGATAAGGTTCGGGTGTAAACACAAATAACTAATAAATTATGAAAGCTCAAAAATATAAATAAGAACCTTGGGCTGCTTCTACTATGTATGACCCAACCAAGAAACAGAAAGCTCAAAAGAGCGCACGAGTCAGCTTCGGCCACACAAGGTCCCAGCCCCACCTACACAATCGAGATCCAGCTGTAGCATCGGTGACTACAGTTTGGATCCGTTTTCAAGCCAATACAAACAAGAACCATGAATTGACGGCCATTATCAAACTTGTAGCGGACAAGACATATAAGAAAGAAAACATTACACAAAACAATGTGTGAAGCAAATCCAAGGTTTAACCCAACTTTTTTATTGATGAATGGGGGAACGCAAACTAAAGTAAAATGCTATAATTTTTTTATTTGTTATTTGATTTTAGATCGTAGTCAATTAACAATATTTATTAATTTAGGTGCGGTTTGTTTTTTAAAAGATGCTCAAGTCTGAAATTTGATTTCACTTTTGATTTATAATAGGTGGTGTTGAACTCTGAAATCTAAAACAGTTCGTTTTTATTTCTGAAATTTGAATTAGTCAGATTATTTGCTTTTACGTCTGAAATCTGAATTAGTCAAACTATTTGTTTTTACGTCTGAAATCTAAATCAATAGGACTGTTTGTTTGTATAAAATGACAAACGTCTAAAGTCTGAAATATAAATCAGTTCATTTTTAAACCATTTGTAAACCACCATCTATTCTTAACACATTCAAAACTTCAACCGAAATACATCAATTGATTCAACACAATTTTTTCTCTTAAACTAGCCATGTATGTTTGGTCAGTAGCACTTCCATATGATTGAACCACTTCAGCCCCATCCTCGCCATAGTCTCCTTATACGTTGGTACCTTCCTTTCATATGAAGTTATAAACCACAAAGCATGCAATAACGTCTCATTGAACCTCAAGTGTAAATGGTGTCATTCTTTTCAATATTGAAAATCGTGTTTTTAGAATACCATAAGAACGTTCAAGGTTGGAGTACATTGCATCACTTCATTGATTTTAGAAACACCCATATCACAACATGCAAGTGCAAATAACTTAAAATTAACATCGTCTTCTATGATTCATGGCTGTTTCTTTCCCTCCTCAAGGCTTTCAAGATATCTACTCCAAGGAAAACATTCAGCAGATTCATCCCAGCCATACCTAACAAAGCGAGTGGGAGTTCCACGCCTTTCTCAAACTTGGCAGCATCTTTCACAAGCTTGATGGTAATAAGTAGATGGGATAAGAGGCGTGCCAAGAAGAATGTAACCATATTAAGGAACCATTCTATTTTCACAAACTTGCTATTGCTATCACGAAAACCCGCCATCCGCCTCACTTTTCGCACATGAAGAAAGATCGAATGTAGCTGTTAATCCCAATCAGACAAAGTTGAGTGTTGAGATTCTTAGCCATAATTAAAAAAATTCCATATTCCCTCCACCTCCCACCAATCATTTTAAAACAATGATGTCTTAAAATGATTGGTGGAATAAGGAGGGGACATGGATACTTGTAGCAGATCTTAAATGCTCAAATAGCATATAATATATAAAGCAACACACATACCTCACATATTAGAGTTAGAATAAGGTAGTTGATTGTGACATTACGATATAATGCTAGAGTAAAGCATCCAAGGAGTATAAAATGATGCAACAGGATGGAGGGTATCCACCCACTGTATAAGCCATAGAGCAACATATCCAATTGATCGTACGCGAAATAGCCACAAGAAATACACAATGCCGAGTATGCCCATGGCCAAGTAGCTTTCACAAGCTTTGAATGCTCAAATAACTCATCCCAACCATTAGATATCAACTCGTTCACCAAAATGAATACCACTGTAAAAAAAAATCAGCCTTTTACTAACTTTACAATCATCATGAATATTAATTACTGCACTGTTTCACCAAAATGAATACCACTGTCAGCCCTTGTTTACTAAGTTTTAGTCATACATGCATAATGAACAATAAAGCCCATATTTGCCCAGTATTGTTAAATTCACCTTGTTATGGACAAGATTATATATGCAGCCATTGCCAACAAGAATAAAAACACAAGGCAATCTAGTCTAGTTGGTTTGTTTTTTATTAAAATAAAACCCTAGGTAGTGTGAGCAGAACCTAATACTTGTAAATTGAAAACCATTGTAGCTATGTATTTTCTTATCCAATGTGCATTTATCTCTCTACTACATTAAGAAGATCTATTTTCAAGTTAAATAGCAACTCATTGGACTTGGGAAGATCAAAAAGTTCCAATTGAAGTTGATGCAGTTAACACATAAAGTAGAATCAGATGCATCAAAATTTGGGGAATAATTCATACAAACAGAAGGAAAACATGTAATATACCCGAGGCAGAAGTAAGTGAGGAATGGAGAAGAGAGACGCATGTGTTAACCAAAAGGGGGTTCCTGGAGATGAAAGTACGGCAAACCCAATTGGCAAATTGGTAAAAACAGAAGCCGGTCAGAAGTGGAAAGAGCTCAGTGCGTTTGTTGAATAGTATTTCGAAGAAAACAGAGACAGCCCACATAACCAGAGTAGCCATGAAGAAGAAAGCACTTGCATCGTTCTTTTTATGTAGATGGCCCGCCATTGCAGATGCTTTATGTATATATATGAAGCAGGAGGTAGAGAGGAGAAGAGAGCTGTAAAAGATCGATTGCTGCGAGATATCAAGCGATTAGGGGATCGATTGCGTGAGCGGCTGTAAGAGAAGTGGAGATCGAGAGCGTGAGATGCTGCGAGAGACGAGAGTTTTAAGAGGTGAGAGTGATAAAATTACCACTAAAATTTCAAAAGAAACAATTTTGACTGAATCATACTTCAAATGGCTGAATTAATACCACTAGAGTTGAGTTTCCTAGTTATCTTTCATTTTGTTTTTCCTGGTTGTTTGATTAATGGAGCATCTTTTATTTGGTTTTCCTGGTTATTTGCTTAATTGAGCATCTTTTGTTTGGAATCTGTGTAGCATCCAATAGGTTGAGTTGTTTCTTTAATGTTTATCAAACCCCATGTTTGATAATGTTTTTCAATTTCTAGATTTGGCCACTACTTTTTCCTTTTGCCCTTTTTTTTACTAGCAACTTTTATTCTTGTATTATATATATATATATATATATATATATATATATATAGGAGCGATCAAATGAAAACCACTCCAATTTGTAAAAACCGTAAAAACTACTCTCATTCGTCGATTTCATTGTTTAATCTTATGAAATTTTTTCATGAAATTGTTTAATCTTGTGAAATTGTTTCATATARTAYTTTTTTTGATGAAGTTGTTTCATATATGGTTGTGAAATTGTTTCATATAATACTTAATGAAACTGTTTCATGTATTTCTCTAACATTAATGAAACTGTTTCATGTATTTCTCTAAAATTAAAATAATGAAGATGATAATATCTATGATTAACACCCTCCTCAATAAAAATGATTAATCAACCTCTCATAATTACAAAAAAATAAACAAAATAAAAAATTATGATTGGTTGAATACAATTTGCACGGTTTGTACAAATTGAGTGGTTTGCATTTGATCGCTCCCCTATATATATATATATATATATATATATATATATATATAAATTTTAACGATGCTTTGTCACGGATTCAAAACAAAAATGAAAAAATTTCAATATAAATAGCTTTACTACATTGATTCTTATTTTTTGAAAATACTAACTACTTTAGTTAATAAATAAATATGGAGGTATGCGTAACCCAGATATATGTCAAGTAAAATCTGGGCTTTAAACACCACCTGGTTAAATTTTAGGAGGGCCAATCTTAGCAGAAATACATGCATATTTCGTCTCATCATATGTGCCAACTCCTTTGCCCATTTCTTAAACTGAAAAAACATATATATATATTTGTTGTGTAGGGAAAATGATTGTTGAACGTTCCAATGGATAAAGATGGAAGACAACTGCCCACCTTCCCCTTGTCAAACTGTTATGGCAGAGAACTCTTTCGAGCAAAGTGCAAAAATTAGCACAAAACCGATACACACTATCTCTGCTTTTTACACTTTGAAAAAAAATATATATACATATATGTTGAGTTGCTCATATTCTATGGGTGAAAGATGTCTATCATGCCATTCAGTACGAGGAATTGTTTATAATCACTGCAACTCACACACATATTCATCAAAAACAATCTCCCAAAGCAAGTTATAAATTTCTTCAATCAATTGACGTTAGGTTGCTCATATTCTATGGGTGTAACAAGAGTCTATCATGCCATGGATACAGCATTCAGAAACAATTAAGTATTTCTTTTTTTTATAATCACTGCAACCCACCATCGACGAAAACAATTTTTATTGCTGTTTGCATCTCATAAAAACAAAACCAAAAAAAATTGTTGAACGATTGACGAACAAGTAAATCGTTGGATTGAAATAGCATCTTGTTAAAATCTAAAGAGTAGCCATACCAGAGAATTCTAATGAAAAAAAGGGGACGATGCTAGAATTGCAGAATGATTTAGAATGCAACAAATGAACATTTAGATCCAAGGACGGCGGCCACAGTAGTTGGATTGAAAGGATACGTACGATGAGTGTGTGTTTATATAGGGCGGATGAGAGGAGGCGCAGTTCTGAAACCCTAATTCCAAGCAGATAAGAGAGAGGAAATGGGGGAGGGGTATGAATGAATAATGGTTTTAAGACAAGGGGTTCAGATGCAAAACCTAGAATCAACTTTTATTATGTTCGTTCCGGTTCCGGATGCACGAAATGGTTTTGTACCATCAAACAGGGTTTATCCGGGTTGGATCGGAACATTTTTGACATTTTTACAACTCAGCTGAATTATGATGATTTGAAAAATCTTAACTCATTTAAAAATATAAATCAACTTAACTCGATCTTTGCAGGTTGAGTTGGGTTGATGGGTTAGTAATATACAAAAACTTTTACCAATTCTCTTACTATGATAAGCATATTATTTTCCACGATAATTAGAAACATGGGTGTACACGGGTTGTATAAGACGGTTTTTGACGTTTTTACAACTCAACCCAATTATAATGGTTTGGGTTGGGTGAAGTTATGCTAACCCAATTTCCACCCTCTTAATTAGCGGTTTGACAGGTTATGTTTAATTGGGTTGTTAGCGAATTGGATTGAGCAGATTTTGTGGGTTGACGGTTTCTTATACACCCCTACCATCAAACCCCAAACAAGTGAGTAATTACACATATGGTCCTTAGAGACACAATGCTTTTCCCAAACTCCTGGACTTGCACACTAATACAATTTAGAATTTCAGGTTATTACATCTAGCTCTCTGACGAGCTAGAACATGAGCAGGGACTATCAATGTATGTTCATAACCAGTTGGTACGGTTGAATAATCATCAATTTATACACCCTATATGTAGGTGCCAATGAGCACATTCAACTACCTATGTGGCTCAAAGCCTTCTCACCCATGCACGACGAGGCAATTATCAGGGACATTCTCTACCCACTAATCTAATAACCCGTCATGCAAGCCTCCACTGGGAGGTGGTTTGTCGGTAAAAACAAGCGTTGTCACTTACCATCAATTGTTGGTCGACAAAGTTTCAGCGACAAATTTCAGACAGTTGTTGCTTTCACCAACGAATCTCGATAGAATCGTCTATCACTAAAATCTTTCAAGATTGTAGTAAAGATTATCTTTTTAGAAATCGAGCTTGATACATAAAGGATGTTATATAACTTACAGCTTATTTGTTTGTTGTTATTAATAATAAATAAATAATATTTTTTAAGGAAAAATCATAGATTAAAGGTATAATCGTAGAACTCATCAAGTCATTATACATGACAAGAAGTGGGTAGAGTGTATGTTACTTTATATAAATTATATGAATTTTTTGATAATAAACATTTGTTTTTACTATAATAATAATAATAATAATAATAGCCTAAAAGTTAAAGAATTCAATCCTTAAGTGGCGTTTGATTCGTAAAATGTTTTTGAATTGAATGAAATATTTTAAAAGAATTGACTTTGAAATAATTGAAATGGAAAGTTGTCAGGTTTAACCACCTGTTTGGTTGGCAGATATTGAAATGAAATATGTTAAGAAATTGAAATCTGTCTGTTTGGTTCACATAATGTAACTTTGAAATTTGAATGAAATATTAATAAATGACCAAAATATATTTTTTGAAATTTTATTTCTTTAAAACTAAAAATACTTTAATAAAATAATTGTTTAATATGTAAAACAATATAAAATACACAACTCAAATACAACCATAAGCCAAACGACGTTACTAAATCAACGATGGTCGACGGTGGTTCAAATTGGTGGTGGTCCACAGTGGTTCAGATCGTTGGTGGTCCGTTGTGCTTTAGATGGATGTAACACCACATACCACACATTGCATGTAACATATATTTCATATTTAAGAAATACATGTTTATACACCATATTGGTCGCTTAGTACAATAATCTACCATTACATAATATATGGTCCAAAAATTCAAAATACAATTATTGTACTATTCAACATTCAACTAACAAAACTTTACATATCATAGACAAATCTTTCAGCAGATATGCATATAAGAAAATATTACATTTTCCTCTTCCTCTTACCGTCTGCACCTCTTGCAATACATATTTAAAATCACAAAACGAAAGTTAGACCGAAAGGTCTAGTGAGTTCTCTTTTTATGTCATTGCAGGATGAAAATCACCAAAACTTTATGTAAACAACTTTTCATATATATATATATATATATATATATATGACAAGTAAAATATAAATCAATACATTTTCAATTTCAAAGCCAATCATTTAGCTTTAAATAACATACCCCAAACCCAAATGGGTTCGTTTTAACCAGGTTTATCATAATGCCACTGTTAAACCCTTTTCAATTAATCAAAGGTTCATACAAAGTTTCAGACCAAACATGTTATCCTCTTTTCAATAACATCATATCCAAACTATGATTTCCAATAGGAACTTTGATTCTAAATCCTTAAATCACAAAAAAATAAAGATCCAAAATCATAGTAATCTTAAAGGATATAATAGTAAGAGTTATATTATACATCACATATACAAATGTCACCCTTATATCCAAATGTACACATCTCCTTGATATGTCACCCTTATCCCATGGAACACCTCTCATTGATATGCCACTCTTATCCCATAATACACCTCTTCTTGATATGTCACCCTTATTTCCTCATAAATCATTTCCTCAAAACAAATCCAATGACCGTAGTCATAAATGTCCTAATGGAATATTATCAGTTCAAAATCATTTTTATCCAAATTCTCATTCTTTAAAACGAATATTAAAATAATGATTTACATAAACAATGTATAAATCCGGTCAACACAGACTTGGCCGGACTTCATCTCCGATTAAGCCTTGGCCGGTTTAACTAATTCTGTCAACACTATTCACTCTTGTCCGATTTATCAATCCGGACAACACAAGTATTTGTCCGATTTGTGAATCCGAACAACCCTTCTCAAAGTCTTGTCCGATTTATATATAAACCGGTCAAGACATCATTCGATTTAAAACATATTGGGCAATACCGATCGTATTATTACTTCTCCGTTATAAGGATATAACCGATTTACATAATTTTAAATCACTCAATCCGGTTAATACTTCAAGCGGAGTCTTTCTATATCGGACAACTCTATTTCCGGTTTAAGTCCAATCCGGTCAAACCCTTGTCCGATATACTTCTATCCGGACAATCACTTGTCCGATTTAAATCCTAATCGGATGACAATCTTATAACACAATCAATTATGTATTTCAAAGAGATTAAAACAATTTAACCACTCATCTTATGTAAATTTGAAAGCAAGGCTGAGTCCAACTTCAACTCAACTAATTCGATCAACACTCTCCTCTTTTAAATCGCACACTGCTTCTAAAAATGGCAAGAGAATGTAATGGAGGCTTAACCCTCCTTTTATACTTTCCTTTTCTGGAAAGTCGGCTATCACAGCCGTTTATATGCATGCATACATTTTACTCATATACCCCTATGTACATACCCAATTATGCATATATATATATATATATATATATACACACACATATATACCCATGCATACACCACATGCATGTGCTCCATCATATATATACAAAACACATAATTATGCACACAAATTTGATGCATAACACCTTTTGCATATGCATTTATGCATATAATTTCACATACCAACATGATCAAATATAACAATTTATCATGCTAATACGTAATCATATAACAAATAATCATGTATTAATTACCTCAGATGATAACCAGGATCCGGTTATCATATTATTCACCCCTCAAAAGAATTATGTCCCGAAATTCCTTTAATCAAAGAGCCAAGGATACTCTAATTTCATTTTTTATTTTAATTCCCAAGTTGTCTCTGATCCCTTATGAAATTGCCACTGTACCTTAACCAAGCTGATCTCTTTGTTTCTCAACACCCTGATCTTTCAGTCGATCACAGCTTATGGTGTCTCTACAAAGTTCAATACTGTCCAATTTAACTTCTCGTAGCGGTACAGCAAGACTCGGATCAGCTAAACATTTTCGCAAGTTTGATACATGAAAAGTGTTGTAGATCAGGCTAAACTCTTCTTGTAGCTCCAACTGATAAGCCATTGGCTCAATTCGTTTACATTTTCTGAACGGCCCAACATAGCTCGGACTGAGCTTACCTTTATTTCTGAATCTGATAACACCTTTCCATGGAGAAACTTTTAGCATTACAAGATCATCCACACCAAATTCTATCGGCTTTCGACGATTATCGGCGTAACTTTTCTAGCGGTCTTGTGTTGTTCTGATTCTTTCACGGATCTGTTCAATCTTTTCGGAAGTTTCTTGAACAACCTCGGGACTCGTCAACTGCCTTTCTCCTACTTCGTTCCAGCACAACGGTGTTCGACATTTATGTCCATACAATACTTCATACGGTGCCGCTTGGATGTTGGAATGGTAACTGTTATTATATGCAAACTCTATCAATGGTAAATGATCTTCCCACGATCCCCCGAAGTCTATGATACAACTCCTCAACATATCTTCGAGAGTTTGGATAGTCCTTTCACTTTACCCGTCAGTTTGAATAGTCCTCAACATATCCCAAAATACGGTACCCAAATTCGTCTTTGAATGCACAAAATTCATTCATTGTTTGGTTCCAAAGTCGAAATCATCTTACCCAATCTTTCTGACTTGATAAGATTCTCTTTCATAGCTTTTTTTCTGGCATCTCATAATTTCTTTATAAGTATCATAGACTAAATTTATCCTCATTGCCACTGTCTTTATAGTTCTACTTCTTTCTTTTCTACTTAAAGAGTCAACTACCACATTGGCTTTTCCTGGGTGGTAGAGGATTTCACAATCATAATCATTAACAAGTTCAATCCATCGACGCTGTCGCATATTTAGTTCTTTCTGGCTGAACAAATGTTGTAGACTTTTATGATCAGTATAAATCTGGCACTTTGTTCACAAAAGATAATGTCTCCATATTTTCAAAGCAAACAGTACCGCGGCCAGTTCCATGTCATGAGTTGGATACTGTTTCTCATGATCCTTCAGTTACCTTGACGCATAATAAA